TAGGGGGAAGAGGGGGAGGAGGGGATCTCATCCGGGTAGGGTAGCATGGGCTGTTCTTTGTCCCATCGGGTCTGGTACAATAAGTGTACTTATAACTTAGGTACTAGTTGTTCTCGATTCCTCGGTCAGTCGGGACTCATTTGGTCCGACTCCTCGGGTTGTGTCCCTGCAGGACAGAAATTGGAGGAGGAACCCTACTCAGAGATCCGCCATGCATAAATTTGCACAAACCCCAATCGAACAAGCATGGGAACTAAGGTCCTAGCAAGCATGCCTCCTCTTCTTTAGCTAGATTGCAATTTAAACTTCTTCTGGACTTTTTCGACGAAGATCCGCGCCAGTGGCTGATGGCGCGCGGCTGAAGAAGCGGGGGGAAAGGAGGGGAGAGGGGGTTTTCAGTCCGTAGTCCATACAAACTTCACAATATGGTTGATGATATGATGGATGCACAAGCTAAACCATGTTGGTGGGCAGTTCTCTGGTTGCTTCAGGCTAGCTCGGACATATCTTGAAACTAGGTACGGAGTGGTGTTTGCAACTAGTCCAGATCTCTCCTAATGAAGGGCCAGACTGGGACGGCAGACACTGGTGGTGTTAGAAACAGTCGGTAACGGTTTCATACCCCGATTACTTACCATGGGTCACAGACATGACCGTTACCGTAATAGCTGGTACGGATGTGGTATTAGGTAGAACCAGCCTATCTTCCAGCTGTATGTACTGTACCTCAATTCTTTCAGTCAAATAGGAACCGTTTCGCAATCGATGTATCCAGTAAGGTGCAGTGCCATACTTGAGTCCATAGTGGCATAGCAATTAGGAAGAAAACTACAAATACAACATCTTGACCGTGTATCTGCTACCCCTGTACATGGGCTGGTTTCATACCCATTCGCCTCTTAAGCAGGGTGCTAAGTCTAGGCTAGGATGAACAATGGTATGTGTCGAAGACATGCAGCCGTAGATAGAATTGACCCCGCGTAGCTTGTCAATTATTCATCTGCATAGGAGATATTCCCCGAGTCAGCTCTCTTGTGTCTCTCATTCGCTGTCAACCGATCTACGTGTAGGGATAATTCTCCCGAGAACCCACAGCATATCCTTTGTGTTATCCAGTGGTTCCAGCCAACTCACGCGACGGGCTGTACTTTTACTGCCTGTCAGGTTGTCTCCTTTTTTTTTACACGCGTTTCATTGCGAGATAAGGGATGATCTTTGCCTTCATGCAACATCAAATTATTTTGTATTACAACTAAGTATTAGTAGTATATTCTGATAGCCAGTCTTCCTCCATAGAAGACTACGGTACAGTCTGTTAGTTAAACAGATAATAGCTTTATATTAGGAGCACCTACAACCATAATAAACTCTTCGGTAATTGTAAAGCCTAAGCTTTATAACTCTAGCTTATCCGCGCTATAGTCTCAAGTTGTGGGGTGTCAAGTTCAACAAATCAAGCCTAGGTATATCGCCGGATACGCAGTTGTATCTAAGCTTTAATGGGGTTTTACTACTTAATATACTATACTGGTCTCCTTGCTGACCTAGAAAGGTCTAATCAGTAGGATTTATTAACAGATACTGTCTTTTTAACTAGAGGGAAAGCCTACAACATCGCAGAGGAGGAGCGTGTATTGGGGATCTATTATACCAATTACTTATACAATTTTAAGTTAAAACAGTAAAACAGACTGTGAGGTCTTGATCCAGCCGAGTAAGAGCACTGAGTACAGAGGATGTTTCTAGATTCTAGAAGTTCTATTCCTTCAATTAACTAACACCTATTAAATAATCCACATATGGACAGATAGCTGCACTGCGTAGCATATGAAGGGCCGCAAAGTGTGAGAAGTGACATTATACTTAAGACATGGCTGATATACGACAAGGCCATGGCAGATGTTGGTATGGTGTCTTAATTTGACATTCGCCAACGTGCCCGCATGTCTTCCGTTCCTGCTTTCTGCTTGGCTAGACATGGCATGAACTATGGCCTGACTGCCTCCGTCCGTGCGTCATGTGAGCGCAGCGAGAGTATAAAGGCCCCCGCCTCTTTCCCACCTGCCCGTCTCCAAACTCGCCGCGGCGGAGGGTTGCATATGGAGCGAGCGATGAGCGCAGTGGTATATACAGGAGTGGGTCGAACGAGCTACAGAAGCTGCGCAGTTTCAGTAATCCAGATTATAGAAATCGCTTATGTTGTATGTGCAGCTTATATCCAGAATAACTCTTTATGCATGCATGGACTAGGTACTAGAGCGTCTGGGGGGCCCCGAGCTGCTAGGATGGCGGCCCGCACAGCCTATTTTGCATTCTGGTTTTGACATGCAGGTATTGCTTGACCTTGGAACATGTACTTCGCGAGCTAGCTACGCATGTGCCTGACTCGACGCACTCGGGCAGTCATCACTAGCTGAAGCAAATATAAAGTGTCCCCTTGAAGTCGTTCTCATATTCCACAAATGTAATTGCGTAGGTATGCAGATGGTCTCTTTGTTTCAGACAGCTTCTCCCCTGCTGTGTCGAAATACTGCGTCGAACGACAATAATAGCCTAAAGAATCAGGCTGTAATTGATTGATTCTTCGTGTCGTCGATAGGCCGACAAAAGATTGTTCATCTGATTGGTGGTATAATCACCAGGGAGACTGATGCCGACATCGGATCCTACTTTGCCTCTGGAGGAATGCACTAGCGCTAAGAAAAGTACTACCGCTGATGGTAAAGCGGAAAAGGACAGCGCATGGCTAGTGTAGTTTCCCTTGCCTGCCTACTAACAAGTACACTGCCGAGTGTTTCATTGGTTAGAAGGCGATGTTAAGTAAAATGAAAAAGTAATCATTGTAGATATCGACGCGTCTGGTGGCGTTGAGCCTGATGTTCAGCTTGGAGCGCTTGGCCAGTCCTCGCCTACCCACGTATATTGTAGATTATGTGATCGAGGTTACACTGGTGCATACTTTCCCCGGATCTTGCATCTTACCCTCCCCATCTTCCCCAGCAACCCGATGGATCAAAGGACAGTTGCCTCCCCCAGACAACCAAGCAAAGTCCAATTCGGGCCAGAATTCCTGTCAACAAACCCCGACCCCCGACGGATGCATTAGTGGGGGAGTTTAGCGGGCAGCTTGTGGTCTTGGGGGCGTTAAAGTTAAGACACCGCGTGCGCATTCCGCTCGGATGGCCATACTCGGGCGAGTCGGCTCAGGGAAGGAGGGAAGGTGGGTGGGGGAAGGATGATTAAAGAGGTTTAGTGCCAAAGTTTCTTCAGCACCTGCCAATGTTTAAGCCTGCCTGCACCGCAGATTCCCTCCCTGTCCTCGAATCCGAGCAGTGAGCACAGACGGGACAGCCTTGGTGCCACCCTCTCGGGTTGCGGAACTCGGCTACTTATCTATGACAATTCCGGCATGTCATTGGCTCTGACACCGTCGAGATAAGGACGGACAAGGGTTTGGCATTATGCTGATTGGCTCCGCAGTCACTGTAACTCGATTTGAATTGGTAACCTTGAAATCACCCATCCCCATCACATGTGCACATTGTGGCGTAGGTGAGTTTAGCCAGTCAGCCGCAACCTAAAGGTTTCCTTGCTGCTACAGTACAATGAACATGACACCAATGTGATGTCGATGGCTTTCGTGGGCCCTAGGAGGCAGGGATGTGCCATCGTGTTGCGTTGCCTTTTCAGTTGGCGAAGCGGTCTATAGGCAGGGTTGTGATTAGGCGATGGCCAGGTTACCGGTGAGACGGACAGAGCAAGGCCACAGATGGTATGATCGCCCGGTGAACCGTGTGTTATACTTGCCCGCCTTCCCGTACCACCACCAGCCCGCGGCGGCCATCTCTTCTTCCCCCCTCTCCCCCGCCCGCTGTGTCCACTGGCCACGACCCTACTCAGCTCAGCTCACCGGGAAGCCGGAGTCTCCCGACAGTGAACGATTCATCCTGTTTTCGGAGAGAACACCCCAAACGATGTGCTTCCTAGTTTTGAGACAGGCTTAGAACTTTCAGTCTTCAGAGGGCGCACTCGACTTAGTAACGATCGCACTGATAGCGCGTAAAACCATCAGATAAGAATTTCGCTCACACGTGGGGCGCACTGCACTCTGGGGGGGGGGGATCTGAGGATCGATTCCGAGGTCACGTGCCATCGATAGGCCTGCAGGGAGATGCTTGGCATGCTTTTCACCTCGTACAGTAAGTACAGAACAAAGGGGAGCAGATCAGAAGTCCACTACTCCTACTGAACAACTGTCCATAAACCCAAGGGCAATAGACTACGTACGTTTCATCCAAAAAAAAAAATCTCTTAATCCAGTTCGCTTAGAGTACTGCATCCCGAGAGATTCCTTGCCACACGAGGATTTCCCGGGAGGCCTGCAAGCGGCGAGAGGGGCGGGTTTCCGCCGATAGATAACGGGAGCAGATTCTGTGACCATAAACTATCGACTAACACTGCCCCGAACTTCGGACGCCCACCCGGCATTGGTTTGCCGTGATTAGTCCCGCTGCCGCTGTCTTTGCCTTACTACTTACTACTTTTTCCTCTCCGGCGGGGACTTCCTATGTTTCGTCCGACTCCGGCTGTTACTGTACACCTTTTTTTGGATTTTCCCGTTTCTCTTTTTTCTTTTCATTTTCGTTTTGCCGTCCGGACAACCCTCTTCCGCTCCGACCCAGTGGCACCCACCATCCACTGCTACCTACCATGACTGCCACCACAGACCCAGTCCGGGGTCGGGGGTAGAAGGAGAAGAGGAGGAGGAGGGGGGGGAAGAGAGGAGGGGGACTGAAACGGGAAGGCAAAGGGGGAACCCGGAAAAAAAAGAGGCAATGGGAAAGATACATAAACCCATTCTCTCTCCTCCCTCAACTCTCTCTTCCTCCTTCTTCCTTTCATCCCCATCCTCCTTCCCATCTCTCTCCCAGACCAGGTCTTAAAAAGTCTTGTCGGGTATCCTTTGGGTCATTCTTCTTCTAACAACACTAAACTAAATACATTTCCCTCCTTCATTCACCATGTCCAACCTTCCCGTTGAGCCCGAGTTCGAGCAGGCCTACAAGGGTATGTTCTTCTATCAATAAAAAAAAAAAAATCACTACCAATGTGTTGCCACTGTATCTAACAACCCCTTCCTGAACAGAGCTTGCCTCGACCCTCGAGAACTCCACTCTTTTCCAGAAGAACCCCGAATACCGCAAGGCTCTGGCTGTCGTCTCCGTCCCCGAGCGCGTCATCCAGTTCCGTGTCGTCTGGGAGGATGACCAGGGCCAGGTCCAGGTCAACCGCGGTTTCCGTGTCCAGTTCAACTCCGCCCTCGGCCCCTACAAGGGTGGTCTCCGCTTCCACCCCACTGTCAACCTCTCCATCCTCAAGTTCTTGGGTTTCGAGCAGATCTTCAAGAATGCCTTGACTGGTCTGAGCATGGGTGGTGGTAAGGGTGGTTCCGACTTCGACCCCAAGGGCAAGTCCGACAACGAGATCCGCCGCTTCTGCGTTTCTTTCATGACTGAGCTCGCCAAGCACATCGGTGCCGACACTGATGTCCCCGCTGGTGATATCGGTGTCACTGGTCGTGAGATTGGTTTCCTCTTCGGCCAGTACCGCAAGATCCGCAACCAGTGGGAGGGTGTCCTCACTGGTAAGGGCCTCACCTGGGGTGGTTCCTTGATCCGCCCCGAGGCCACCGGTTACGGTGTTGTCTACGTATGTTTCCCTGCCCTTTCCGGCACCACAGACGAGTTCGTGCTAACAGGACCTCGCAGTACGTTGAGCACATGATTCAGCACGCTACCAACGGCGCTGAGTCCTTCTCCGGCAAGCGCGTCGCCATCTCTGGTTCCGGTAACGTCGCCCAGTACGCCGCCCTCAAGGTCATTGAGCTTGGTGGTTCCGTTGTTTCCCTGAGCGACAGCCAGGGCTCCCTCATCGTTGTCAACGACTCCAGCTTCACCCCCGAGGAGATCGCCTTGATTGCCGACCTCAAGGTCGCCCGCAAGCAGCTCGCCTCTGTCGTTTCCGAGGGTGTCTTCGCCGACTCCGCCAAGTTCAAGTACATCGCTGGTGCTCGTCCCTGGAAGCACGTTGGCAAGGTCGACGTTGCCCTTCCCTCTGCTACCCAGAACGAGGTTTCCGGCGAGGAGGCGCAGGCGCTGATCGATGCCGGTGCCAAGTTCATCGCGGAGGGTTCCAACATGGGCTGCACCCAGGAGGCTATTGACACCTTCGAGGCCCACCGCCAGGCTAACGCCGGCAAGGCTGCCATCTGGTACGCCCCCGGTAAGGCCGCCAACGCCGGTGGTGTCGCCGTCTCCGGTCTCGAGATGGCCCAGAACTCTGCCCGCCTCAGCTGGACCTCTGAGGAGGTTGATGCCCGTCTCAAGGACATCATGCGCTCCTGCTTTAAGAACGGTCTCGAGACCGCTATCGAGTACGCCACCCCTGCCGAGGGTGTCCTGCCTTCCCTGGTCACCGGTTCCAACATCGCTGGTTTCACCAAGGTTGCTGCTGCCATGAAGGACCAGGGTGACTGGTGGTAAATGCTTCGCATCGTCGATGAGATGGTGCTATGATGATGACTTTTCTTCTTCTCCCGTTTTGTTTCAGCGCATGGATAGAGGCGCCGGTTGCTTTACTTCATAGTACATATTTACCATACCTTTTTTCACAATCATGAATCATGAATGTCAAATCAATGGGTCATTGCCACGCGTAATTCCTAGTTCTTGCATCTAAATCCCAGGAGTCATGTCAGCCCGCCGCAGCATAGATCTTCTCGAATCCATGATGGTAGTCCCACATGCCCCTAATAAGCTTTCGATCGGGTCTTGGCTTCAAATTTAGCTGACAAGAAAAACCGACGGACGAGGTACTCATAATAGGAGGAAGGCTTTCCGCTTTCCTCTTCAGGCCGGTAAGAGGTCCTTCCATTCGCCCATCTCTCCTATTCACGACCCGTCTCTTGAATGATACGGAATCCAGACATCGTACGGGCCAATTCACCCCGACCACTTGAATGTCCGCTCCATACATGCATAAGTTGGTATTTTGCTGCAGATATTCACCAGGCGCGGAGAACATCCTACACTTGGAAAGTTCCACCAAGCATGGTCAAAAATGCGACATGGACACAAGACACGAGCTTTTGACCGTTGTATTCCAGACTTGGGTCGGGCGCGTTCACTGCCTTGGGGCGCCTCGAATCTAATTCTACTTGAAACCGGCGCCCAGTGCCTCGGGAGAACAATAAATTTGTTAGTGACACCTTACCTGATAACTAACGACTGCTTTGGATACAGGACGAAACGGGGTACGGTATCGATGTAACGTACGGACTGCATGTGACGGGACGGTACCCGAAGGTATGATACTAAATTTCAGAGTCACGTACGGGTACTCCAAGTGTTATTGAAGTGCTGTGGCATTTACAACTAGTGTTCCCGCACAGCCACCGCCTAGACTGGCCACGAGCACAGACAGGCACAGACAGGCACAGACCCACCCGGTGTTGTTCTCTTGAGTCTTAAGTATTGACTTCAAAGATTATTGTACCATGAAGTCGCGCTGCATGAAACATGGGGACATCATTCCAGTAAACAATATGTACAACCATGAACTCTCCGAGCTCAGTAAGAATGCACTGTTCCGCTCTATCAGGGTACTTTGATCCGTAACCCTGCTTCTCTGTACATAATCATCGACAATTGTCTTTCGAAGTATATATGGTGTAGGGCGGAAATCAAATGACGCTTCAGTATGATGTCAACGCTGCCACGTTGCGACGCGGTCGATTTGTCATTCCAAATGCTAATGCAACCTGACGCCATGCTAAGTCCAGAATGAAACAGACCATTAAACAATGTATGGGTATCACAAGGCATATCCCCAAGGGGAGAAAACAAGAAAATCAATCACTCCGTCAGGTGGACGGTCGGTAGCGGATCCAAGAGCACACTGCGCCGTCGCGACAGCACTCCACCCACAGACGGATTGTCCTTGGCACGCGGCACGCCGCGGCTACGGCGGCGAGGATGTCGCAGGTGTTCGTTGGGCACCGGGTCCACCTGCTTCTTGGCCGCCGGTACGAGGTTCAAATATATTGGGAATATGGCACCCGCGGCGGAAACCGCCACGAGAACGCTATACGAGTAGGGTACGCCGCCTACCAGTTGCGCTGCGTACTGCGCAAACGGGAAGATACCGCCCCCTCCGATGGCCATCGTCAGCAGACAGCCGGCTGTCTTGGTATGTCGTCCCGTGCCCCGCAAAGCGATGGCAAAACTGATACTGAAGGCACCGCTTTCGAACAGATATACAAGCTCGGCCATTGTCACCGCCGTGAGGCCGGTGGTATGCATGCACAGCGCGGCGCACACGATCATGCCAATGTAGGACAACAGCAGAATCCAGCGTGGCTTGAGGAACCATTGCAGAAGAGCGGCTAAAAATCGCCCCACTGCAAAGACCGTGTGCCCAATGGTCAAGAACTCGAACGGAGTCAAGGAACCGCTGCAACCGCTTTAGTAAGATGAGCAAAAAGATGCCCAGGATAGGAAACTTACTTTGGATGGACTTCCTCAACAAAACGCACGAAGCTCATGGACAAGACTTCTTGGCCCGCGACATACATGAACACAGACCATATGCCCAGACCCAGAGTGACCCAAACCACCGGCAACCCCGCCACGCGAGCACGATTGTCAGACCGCCGCCGGTTGGCCAACTCTTCCAGATCAGCATCGGAAGCCTCTGGGACAGGCAGGTAGTAGAAGACGAGAGCCAGAATCACGTCGAATAGAGCAATGCCAAGGTAGGTCCACTGAACGTCTACCAAGGAGGATACATCAGTCACCTTTTTAAACAGAACCTTTTTCGCGAGAAGCTGCGAAACAACACTGCCAACAGCCTGGACACCTTGTGAGATGTTCAGACGAATCTCGGAGTTTTCGAGCGGACCGCATAGAGCAATAAACGGATTGCCGGCTGTCTCAAGCACGGCCAAGCCGAACCCGACAATGAGGTTGGACACAGCGAACGCTGAATAAGAAGTCAACACAGCGGAGGGCCAGAAGATGAGGGAGCCGCATGCGTAGATGCAGAGGCCCGTTATGAATGAAGCTTTGAAGCCCCAATGTTTGAGCACCGGACGGCCCACAAGCGGTGGGCCCAACAGATAACCACCGTAGTAGGTCGCGTGCAACCCGTACGATCGATATACACCAAGATGTAAGATTTTCTTGAATTGCTCATTCAGCATGTCGAGCAATCCGTAAGCAAAGCCCCAGAGGAAGAACAAAACAGTGGTGAACGCGATCGGCGTGATGGACTCCTTGTTGCTCAGCTTGAGCATATTCGCGGGCTGTTTCATATTGACAAAGTCGAAGAAGGTGATACTGGGCGGGTAGGAGGAATTGGTCACTGTGTTCGTGCGCTGCTCCACGTCGGTCGCTCCCGGGCCTGAACGGGGCGGCGGGGCGGCCAGGAACTCCGTGAGATCGACGCGTGCGTCGCTGCCAGCCTGACTGCTCTGACTCTCCGACTGGGTGGGTTTAGGATTTGGGGTTCCATTGGGCGGGGCAGGTCGGGGCACAGAGTCCCCGACTGCAATGGGCGCCAGCGGCTGTAGCGGTTGGGTGCCAGGCGAAGAGGCTTGATAACTCTCGTCAGTGTCGCGAATGAGCTTGGGAAGCAACCGGGCGACGAGCGGCTTGAGGCTGGGAACGCAGGCGCATATAATGGAAACATTGACTTCGATGACGGACCACATGAAGGAGAATGCCGCGTACCCTAAAGCTTGAAGTTAGAGGTAGACGAAGATGCAACAATGGGGCACAGTTGACTGACAACTTAAATCGTCGCCGGGGGTACCCTGCAAGTGAACTTCTTTGAGAGCGATCTGACGGGAGGTCGCAGCATCTTGAATGTAGGCGATCCGAATGACATCAACAACGGCGACGAAGAACCCAAAACTGAAGGTGATGACGATAATGATTTTCTGCTTGCGCGGCAGGCGCATCCGCGTGAGAATGGGGTTCGGTAAACAGAGGATGGCCAGGTCGGTAATGATGTTGACCGGGGAGGAGGATAGATAGAGGGTGAGGATGTCAATGCACTTGGCGCCGTCGGGCAAGGGATATGCGACAGCAGCACTGACTGGACGGCACTGGAAGACGTTGACGAGGGTGAGGGCCAGGCCAGCGGCATTGACGACGAAGAGGGTGACGTAGGTGGCCCAGCGGAATATCTTTTCGCCTTGTGTAAGGGTCAGGTAAAAGACAAGGATGGAGGTTTTGATGGCCATCAGCGTCGGGTTCTGAGTCGTCCGTGAGAAGAGCGCAGCGAGTAGAAGCGGAGCGGAGGACTCACGTAAAGGACGGTAAAGGCGTAATCGGCGCGATTGAGGCCAGGCCGTTGCTCGGGGCGAATCTTGGCATCGTGAAGACCGAGACCTTGGTGGGTAGCGTAGAAGAGGGAGAAGGAGAAGCCGAAATCAAGGAACTGGAGGTTGTTCGGGAGTATGGTCAGTTCGCTTATCGCCCTGTATAGAGGAAACTGATATGATGGATGTATACCCAGGCCAAGAGCATAAAATAGTCATGCAGGGCAATTTTGCGAACTATAAAAAGGCGAGACACGAAGCGCAAGGCAACAAAAACGGTGGCGACAACAAAAAAGACGATGGAGACGGTCAAAACTGTCGGTCGTTGGTCTTCCATCACGGAGAGAGAAGAAGAGGAGGAGGAGGAGGAGGAGGGGGAGAGCGGAGAGCGAATTCGGAGGGAGCGGAAGGGTCGGTTAGAGGCGGGGAGGAGGAGGGGAGGAGGAGGGAGGCAGGCCCATGATTGATCTCGCTCGACGGGTTCACGGCATGGAGGCAGATGATTCTATACATATGAGAGATGAAGACTGGTAAATTTGTAAGACCGAGACGAAGGTGAAATAGCAGTTGGAAAGAGAGCGTGGGTGGTAAAAGGAGAGAAGGAGAGGAAAAGAGAAAAGAGAAAATAAGAATAAGGTTGAGGGGGTGAAGCGGAGAAAAGGAAGAGGAAGAGAGATTTGGAGGATGAAGAAGGCAGGAAAGCAAGTAAGCAGGCAAGGCAGGCAAGGCAGGCAAAGCAGGAAAGAGACAAATAGACGAGAGGGAAAAGGGAAAGGAAAGGAAAGGATGGAACCTCCAACCACTCAACTCGCAAGTGGGCAAAAAGGGCAACGGAACTTGGAAGGCTTACTCGACAATTTAATTTAAGCACAGGGGAAAAAAAAAAAAAGAAAAAGAAAGAAAAAAGAGGGGGGGAAATATGGCAAATTAAGTAAGCTAAAGCAATTGCACTGAATATTGATCGACAGTCACCGTTTTCAAATAGAAGGAATTATTTCACTCCAGAGCAGAAAGACAAACAAAACAGTAGAAAATGGTAAGGATGAGAGAAGAGGGAGAGAGAGAGAGAACAACGTAGATGTTATGTTATTTCTCTTCACCCCCTCGCGTGGCATCTTTTACATTGATAGACCCGTTATCGTTGGATCCGCAGTAGGAATCTGTTCCTGAGCGATCGGCTGTTTAATGTTTAATAGTACGGTGTGATAGATTATCTGCATGGGGATCCTCATTTGTCTTTCTCCAGATTTATTGGGGCACTATACCACTTCAGTATTCTTGTTGAATGGGGGCCATTGCTTGATTTGTTTAGCGAGGTCCTCTATCCCCCGCAGTCTTCGCTGCCATCGGATGACAACTATAGCACTATAGCATACATACAAACACACCTACATCCAGCCCTAATCACAGCCGACAATGCTCTCCTCATCAACCAGGATCTTCCGCTTGGGTGGTCTTGTTGCTATCACATGGTCCCATAACCTCTATTATGGATGAAATCAGCCAAATTCGACCCGAAACTCACCCGGAGCATATGAACGGTCCTGCACAAACAACTCTTGTATAAAGAACCGACCTGTGTCTTCAATCTCCCCATCTACGTAAACGGCTCGGCCCCCCCTCTTCACTATGAAAGCTGCAATAGTCCTTGCAGCACTGCTGACGGCTCTAGCTGTCTGTCCGGATCACGACTACTGGGTTAACCGAGTCTGGAGGGAGCTGCAGCAGTCTGTGACGTGTGCAACCTGCGAGGTGAGCGGAGCGCTAGCCGAGATGGCCGACTGGCCAGGTATTGACATTGGATGCAGATCCTGTTAGGCACACTGAAGGCCGTGGCGCATCAGGGCCCGGATGTTCTGCGAGCCGTCTTGACTGAGATGTGCACGCAGGCCAAGGGAGATCGATCGATCACCTGTTATCTTTGTTGTCACGCTAAATCGCCGAGTCCAGATTGCTGATGCCGATGTGTGCCAGGGCACCACGGCCGCCCAAGCGCCCAGCGTCTTTTACATCCTCGAACAGCTGCAAAAGTAGATCGGTGACCAGCCAGTTGGATGTGCGCCAGCCTGGGTCGCCGGTGTCCGTGGCCAGAGATCGATTTCAATCCGACTCTACCACCCGAGCCGTCGAGCAAGCCCATCACGCGGAGCTTCAACCATATACCGATTCGTGAAAAACGATCCGTCCGCGTGGCCCATCTCAGCGACACGCACGTTGACCGCTTCTACACGCCGGGGGGACCAGCTATCTCTCTGCTCCAAACCCATGTGCTGCCGGCCGTATACAGCGGGCGATGCGCCCAACAGCACGCTCTTCCCCTGCGGGGACTGGGGCAATCCTCGGTGCGAATCCTCCCATTCGCCTGCTGACGGACAGTTTATTGCCCGTCCTGCAGAGCCTGCAGCCTCCGTTTGCCTTCCGTCTATTCACCGGGAACATCATACCCCACGATTTCTAGCTCACCAGTCCAGCGTCCGTCGAGGCCGATTATAACACCACGTATACAGCGCTGCAGACCCTCAACCGCCAGGGACCCGTCTATCTCGCCCTCGGCAACCACGACACCTCTCCGAGCAACATCTACCCCGTGTCTCCCACGTAACCTTCAGGTTGAACGCCGCAATGGGCCTACGACCTCTTCGGCTTCTGGTCGAACCGGCTCTCCCTGCAACCGAGGCCCCCATCACCATCACCAGTACCAGTCCCCCAACCCAAGAACCACGGCCACTACAGCATCCTCCACCACCACCAGCACCGCCCGCAATAGCAGCGCCCGCGAAGCCATAGGCATCAACTACATCACGCCCAGCCTGACATCCGAACACGGCCGCCCGGCCTTCCGGCTCTACGACGTCGACCCTACCACCTGGACGGTCGTGGATTATACGGTCTACGTGGCGGGGTATGACTTCCGGACTGTGCCGCCAGCCCATCGATTCTATGGGGATAGTGCTGAGGGTACTGTTCTGGGGTGTGTCGGAGGAGGGAGATCTGTTACTTGAGGGGTGGGAGGGTTGTCCGGGGAGTTTTGTCACCATGGGCGGGCATGGGGATGACTTTGCGTGGGCGGGGCACTGGATGGAGTAGGTCGATAGGGAGGCTAATGGGTAGGCTGGTGGGATTGTAGTCGTGCAAGGTAAGAGTACACGGTGGGAGAGGCACAGCAAAGTAGAATACGTAATGAGTGCAGTACTTGCCGTTGACTTGCCCAGGTTGCTACGGGTCTATTCCAAGATAAAAGAAGTCCTACTGGCACCGCACACTTTCCACCTTACTCGCTACACTTTACAAGGTCAAGATGAAGAAAGAAGGCAATCTATTCAGGCCATCGCGCCGCGACGGGTTCGTTCCATTCTCCCAGATAACTCAACAAAAAAGATATGCACACGAAAGAAAAGGTAGCAGGGTAATCATTCTATCCGTAAATCACGTTTCCTTCACACTTCTACTGGATGTACCAGTCGACACCGCTGACACGGCCGGCACCCAGTTCGGCCAGCTCGAGGAACAGCGACGAGGACAGATCGATGGAGCCTTCGGCACAACCCATGCAGGTGTCGACGATGGTACCGGTCGCGGTCTTGCCGCCGTAGTTGATGGTCACCGACTTGCCACAGTAGCTCTTCTGCATGATGGTGTGCGACAGAGCCAGGACGTGCTCGCTGTCGGTGTTGGTCTCACCGCAGGATCCCAGACCGACCTCGTAGTAGGTGATGTCTCCGCTGCAGGGCGAGGACTCGGAGCAAACGCCAGAAGAGCTGGAGCCGGAGCTGGAGCTAGCACTGGTGGTAGCAGCGGCAGCAGCGGTGGTGGAGGTGGAAGAGGAGGAGGTGGTGGTGGTCCAGGCCGAAGTGGTGGAAGTGGTGGAGGAAGTGGTGGAGGAAGTGGTGGAGGAAGTGGTGGTGGTGGTGGCGTGCCACTGCTCAGTGGTCGAAGTAGCGACGCTGGTGGTCCACTGAGGAACCTCGGGGGTCCAAGTGAAGGAGGGCACGGCGGGGGCGGTCCAGACGGGCTGTTCCCATCCAGCAGTCGTCGAAGTGGTGTAGGAGCTGTGGTGGGAGCTGTGGTGCGCCTGGGTGTGATCGGCGACCTTGTTCACAGCGTTGGTGGTGGAGGTAGGCTCGACAGTGACGGTGGTGGTCACGTCGACGGTGGTCCAGACAACAGAGGTGACGGTCTCGATCTCCACAACCTGGTCGCGCTTGTCGACGGGGGCGGCCGAGGCGAAGGCCGCAAGCAGGGAGCCAACGAGGGCAAGAGACTTGGTGATGGGAGCCATTGCTTTTGAAATTGTTGAGTTTGACGAGGGGTATCTGGTGGATATTTTGGGTTGAGTCTAGAAAGCGGGTTGCTTGCTTGCTTGCTTGCTTGCTTGCTTGCTTGCTTGAGGGTATGTCTATCTAGACGAAGGACTGGCTGACTCTGGTCGACAGAGGAATTGGAGGATCTCGAAGATAAGGACTGACTGACTGACTGCACTGCAGTACAATAGCAAAGCAAACCCGAGGGAGTGTGGGTGTGAAAGAAGGAACGACAGACGCTGCTGGTTGAGGAGCGAGAAACGAAGGAGAGGAGAGACCGAGAGGGGCAGCCCTTTATAAAGTATGGATGGAGGGGGAAGGAGGAGGAGGAGGGGAGGGACTGGCAGTCAGGGCCGGGACCGTCTACGGAAATCGGACTACAATAAAACGATTTTTTACTTTAAACATTTTTGGCAAGACTTTAATTATTGAATGGAAATTGTAAGAGTGAATATTATACGGACTCGTCATAGTAAAAAGTAACAAAGTGAATGAAAAAAAAAAAAAAAAAAAAAAAAAAAAAGAGCTAACCCGGGGAGAGTGCCAATCATCCATAACAAGCGTTGTCCCTGGCAGAGCCAACCAACAGGAAGGAGGAAGGATTGGCCCGAGTTCAGGCCCCCGCAGCCCTGGCTGAGAGACTGACTGAGAGACTGACTGAGAGACCCACTGCAAGCAGCCCAGCTCGTGAACGCCCCGATCAACTGGTCAGGCACGGAACCAGTCAAAAGTCAAAACCACACTTTTGGCAACGGGTACTTCAGGAACTGGAACTGGAACTGGAACTGGAACTGGAACTGGAACTGTCCTACCACTCACCACTCACCACTCACCACTCAACTGTAGGTACCGTACGTACAGTCCAGTCTGTCTTAACCCTCCATGCCTTTGACCACTTTTTACCCACTTCTCCTCACCGTCTCTCCCAGGGTAAACTCACCGTCCCTGCTCTTGACTCCTCCTCCTCCTCCTCCTCCTCCTCCTCCTCGTCGTTGCCCCTCTTCCCCGGCTACCAATAATTGCCCGTCTGCCACCTCATCAACATGTGTTTTCCCGATGGCCACGCCTCGTATTGGACATGTTGAGGAGAAAGGAAGAAAGAATGACGTGAATTGTACAGTCATTCAGCGTGTTCCTGAATGCCGACTGATCGACTGATTGGCGGGCCCTCGATTGGCGCCGGTGTCTCAGCCAGGCGGGTTTGGAGGGCGACTCAGTGTGCTGACTGGTCGCCGCATTTGTTGGGTCTCCATTGACTTTTTCTGCGCTGTGGCTTGTACGGTTTGTACCTGTCCCGTATTCTTCTCCTTCTTTCTTCTTCTCTGCAGGCACCAGGGCCCGTCCCTGACCCAGGGCGGCATCGATCAGCCATTTCGATGTGATCCTTTTATTGTGATGGTGCACCCTCCATTACCAAGACCAATAAATACAACTCAGCCACAAGCCACATCCGATTGACTAGAAACGGTGCCTGACGGGACGGCATGCACAAGTTACGATTCTTGGGGCGAGCTTCAGTGAAAAGACCGCCCAAAGTCAGAATAGAAAATCCATCTAAGAAAAGAAAACAACAAACATTCGTCCGACACATCTTCCCCCTAAACGTATCATTTGAGACACCCTCTTCTATCGACGTCTTTCGATCCTGTCTTTCATGACTAACCCTTTTTGTTCTCCTCCTCCTCCCCCTCTCTCACTTGGTGGCGAAAAACAAAATGGATGGATCCTGGATCCTGATAGCTTTCACCATCTCAGGAACGTAGCCTATGGAGGCGTCGACCGTGCGGTGTCGACGTGTCCGCGACCCTCCGAGTCTTGGGGACTCCATCGCAGCGCGCAGCCAGTGAGGGCGGGCAACGCGATCATTCCCCTCTTCCAAGAGGGCTTTCATCTGTCCAGGGCTGCATCTTCCCCTCTTCTGAGTGCTTTTTGCCCTCATCTCTGCCCCACTGCGAAAATTTTGACTGCGTGTCGGACCTTCCAGCAGGGCCGATTGGAGGGGATGCAGTCGCCTTCACGCTGATCTAGACCGGTGGACAAGAAAGTGTCGATGTAATCATCCACTGCGGATTCTCTCAATTCTTTCATGTTTGTGTGGGAATACGAAACTTGGCATTGGAGTTCTGAGACGCCACATGGGCTGATGGAGTCAACAGACACAAACACCCAGCGCTCGGTCCAGACCCTGATCCCTGATGGATCTGTGATCCCGACCGGTCAATAAAGACGTGATGCGATTATCAATCATCCATTGCACCCTTCGTCCTGTCCATACTCAATAGGTAGGAGTGCTACAGCGACTCTACAGTCTACCGTACACAGATCTATTCTACCGATCAATTGAGAAGCAACGATCCAGAAACCTGCTCAGTGACATCAAGCCCGCCTCCGCCCATGACATGTATCGCATCTGCAGAGCATTCTCGGCGCCCCCTCACTCCCTCCCCCTCCTCATCGGAGCATATTCCATCGATTCCCACCCTGTAGTCATTCACACCGCACAATTCCTCCGACCCGAGAGAGGGTGAAACTGCAGCAGCATTCCCCGGCTGCCTGTCTATCTGCCCGTCGGGCTGTCTCCTCGCTTAGGGCGGGGCGATTCCCTTGGGATTGGATCATCCGGTCAGGTCAGGTCAGGTCTCTTTGTCCCAGTACTGTACGACAGCGTAGCCCTGTTTGCAGCAAAAGTATGGGGTACTGTACAGTACCTCGCTTCTGTGCTATGTGTGTATGTACAGTTTTCCACCAGTACATTCGCAGCGACGCATCATCGTCATCATTCATCCAACACCGCTCAAACGGGAGCTCAAACGACTAGCCCCCACGAGATGCTACAACCGAGATCCCCCCCCCTTCCCCCCCTTTCCTCTACCTCCAGAGATTGGGTTAGATGGTACCTGACCATCTCATCTTCCGGAAAGAGCTAACCGACTTGTCATCGTTCGATCTCGAGATCCTTCTTACCCAACTAGACAGCTTCGAGGAAGCTTCTGCACAGCCTAGTGCCAACACCCGGCCTGAACCTATAGCTGTTGGCTGGTCGACCAACCACCAAGCGGGAAATCCCGCTGAATCCTTAGGCTGCCTGCTGCGCTCTAATCGGCCGTCTATATTTACACAACGGACCTGAACCCGGGATGCCAGCCAACAATCCGTACCTGCGCACGTACGACCAACAGCCGTCTCAGCACCGGGGACTTCAAGAAAGTTGGCCTGGGCGCTGATGAAACCGGAGCTGCTGACCGAATCGAGTTCAGTTCCCCTTTGACTACATTCTGATAAACAGGGATATCCACACAACAGAGAGACGGGATGCCGCAAACATTCCCATTGGATGCCATCAGCATTGTTCACTGTCCCAGGGGGCAAGGCTACACAAGCATCGGTTCAATTCCCGCTTCCCTCCGGGGGAAACGATTCACCTCCTGGACAACGGCCCGGCCCATTCCATGACAGGCAAGGTCAGCGCGATGCAGTGGTTCAGTTGCGATAGTTGGCCCCCGTGAAGAGCTTGGTTGTGTGGTGGGATTGAGCTGATACCAACGTTGGGACGAGGTGAGGGCTCCGACGGAGGGATTCTGCCCAACGCAGGAAGTGGCACAGTTGATGCGGAGGTACTTGATCAACATCACTAGCGGACTTCTATCGGCGTCTGTTGACTACAGGAAGTGTTTCTCTTCCATGTGGATTGGTATCCCAGCTAAGCAGGACTCCTTGGAAGTGTAAGATGTCCAACAATCCAGCGCGCATGCCCGAGGTCGCCTCTGTCGTTCCTGGTACACGCTCGGAACTCGCGGGAGAATGCCTTCCCTTACGCACATCGGCTTGCTCTGTATAGTCTCAACAGCAGGAATAGCGCGCTGACAGAATCTGTTCGAAGATCACATGTTCCGGTCTGTGGCCCAGAGCGGGTCTCATGACTTCGGGGCGCGCTTGAAAGTGTGTTCCAGCTTACTTGACCGCTCGGCTCAAAGAGGCTGGCTAGATAACCTCTGGTGAGCCCATATAGCTATATCTTGAGTACTGAGACGCCCATGTTGAACTACAGCGAGCTCCAGATTGCATACAGAATCACTCATCTCGAAGCTGGGTGCGGAGTAAGTGATGTAACCCCCGTCTTCCAGGCCTAACGTTGTCCCCCTTCAGACGTAACAAATGCACTCCCCATATTCCCGTTGGCAGTACCAGCCGAAGATAGTTTTGAGTTAAGCATTTCGGGGCAGGTTCTGAGGTGTGGGTGAAGTGGGCGGCGAGACGGCAGGATACCAGCGTTAGGCGCCGCCGTTTTGTCTCGTCTCTGGGCGCGATCCGAAGCGCCGGGCCATCCGACCTTACCTCTAGTAGTGTCTCTTAGTGCATACCAGGTACCTGTTATAGTCACAGACCCGCAACAATGTCCTTCATTCGCCGGATTCCGGAAAGTAGTGCACGCGGCTTTTTCTACGTGATCAACAAGCCCGGTGTGCTTTGGCGCTCCGTCTAAGAATAATTGACGAACGGCACCGTAGCCTTGGGATGTCAATTTCCATCGATGTATAGTACATCAACTTTAGTATAAGATGCGGATGCTTTCGTGTGCGGTCACCGAGCATGAGCAGGTGTTCTGGACAGTGGTGGCAGGAGTCAGCTTGTCTCTTATATATTTCTCAGCAGCAGTCACTCTTCCAGCCCTAACAGCATCCGGTAAGCCTCTAACAAGCCGTGAGTTATCGACCATGGTGTGTGCATCCCGAAAGAATACACCCGACCACGCTCGAACCGTCCTGGTAACCCCCAATCGAAGTCCGGACTAGAAGTCGCCGTGTCCGTCCTCTCACTGATCGAGGCCTCGATCAGCCTCATCGGCCAGCTGCACGACGCCTACAAGCGCCAAAAGGAGCACACCAGCTTCCTCGCGGGGTACGCGGAGGAGCTCCGCAGCGCCAAGAGCATCATCCGGGTGGACCGGCATATTCGGGAGGTGCTGGGGGATGGCCGGGGGTTGAGGATTGGGAATTTGGTTCCTGATGATGAGGAGGCGGATGCTAAACGCGAGATTCCCCTGAGCCGGGAAGAGGTGGCAGCGGTGATGGGGCCACCGGGCCCCAGCAGCAGCAGCAGCAGCACGGAGCGGATCATCGAGAACAACCTCACGCAGCAGCAAGCCCTTCAGATCAACGGCCCCGTGGGCGAAGACCGATGGAAATCGATCAGCCGCCTGGTGGTTCGGCAGAACAGAGCGACGGGCACGAGTACGCAGGTCAACTATCCGGTGTCCGCCTCGACCTTCTACGTCCTGCTGGTCAATCACCTGGTCAAATCTGTTCTGGTCTGCGGTTTGCTGTATATTCCGCTGGCTTATCTGTTTCAAAAACATGACTAAGGGGGGGGCCCTATAAGACGTATGGAGTATTTAAGCGGAGACTTGGGTTGAGCGGTATCTACCTTATGATCTATGATAGGAGTCGGTGTACGCACTGCACTATATAGTATCTGTGTACTGTTCAACCCGCATTCATCACGACACTTGCAGCTACTGTATCTTACGAGACCTATATCGGATGTACATATCTTCCTGACCTTATCCACTTACCAAATTACTTCGTCTCCAACAACGTATCTTCAAATCCACCATTCTGACCCCACAAAAAAGTCGAACATGTCATCTCCGCCCCGAATGACACCCGAATCCCCCGGACCAACCACGACTCTGTCTCAGCCAGAGATATCCGACCTTCCGAAGACAGTACTATAAGCACTGTACATTATCCACCATGGTGGACTCTAACCACAATCAAGCCTCAACCACATCCACAGAATAAGCATCACCCGCCACGCGCCGGATCCGAAGCCTTCCTTTCCTTTCCTCAACCCAATCTCATCCACGGGACGTCAGAGGTAGCTACTGTAGCGATCTAGATGCCTAGCTTATGCTCCACAATCGGTCTATGATTCATTCACCTTCAGATCTCCCTCCTCTGCTGCTGTCGAGGACAGACATACATCATCGGCCAGATTGTTCCGGCCCACTGCTTGTCGCCGGCCATATATATCGAGCTGATGGTCTCGGTTCTGCCGTTTCAATCGATGCCAGTCTACTTACCCCAGTCAGAAGAATCCCACAAGACGCCTGAAAGTACTCGATCACAAACCCACCCCAAGCTCCAGGTATGCCCCCACATTCCCCATCTCACACACCCCCCAAACCATTCACTCACCCCCAATCCTCCAAGAGTGCAAAATGGACAGAATCACAGAGAACCTGGAATACGCCAAGAACCAGGCGACCGAGGCCTGGAACCGGAACATGCATGGCAACAGTGGTACGTTAGACGCCTGGATGCTTCCAGTCCAGTCCAGTCCAGTCCAGTCCAGTCGAATTCTGAGTCGGCATTCGCCACCCATCCCCAATGCTGCCAGAAAAGCGGTTGTCAAGCTAATGCAGGCTAGGTCAAGGGTCGTCTCTGATGAACAACAACAGCAGCAGCAGCAACCAGAGCTATATGGACCAGGCCAGGGGTAAGGCCAATGATATGCTGAACCGCGCGGGTGACATGATGGGCAAGACCCAGGACTCCGCGAAGGATAGAATGTCCGAGATGGAGCCTAAGGCGGATGAGTAGGGGTGATGAATTAAAGTCAATTTACGGGTTCATGTCGGTCTCTTTGTTACATCACTCAGAAACCAATTCATGGTTAAGTAATAAGCCGATGTGATTGTTCAAAACACCGTAGGTAGAAAGTAAAAAGCTGAAAGAAAAGTAAATTGTTATCTATGTATATCAAGATCATCGCCATAAGCCATCAATGTCAAAATGTCAAACAAGAAAAGAAAATCACTAAAGCCCGTAAATACATTGGAAAGCCCACAAGAGAAAAACAAAATCCATATCCATCAAACCCGTAGTATAATTACACACAAATGTCCCAAAGCATGACGCCGACCGCATTATAACCTTCATCGTTTGTTGCCTTAACCCTGGCACATGATGCAGGCTTCCTTGTTCTCGATGCTGCACTGAAGCACTGCTTGGGAGTAGATATCATTCTCGCGCTCCTCGCTCGTCTTCTCGGAATCCTCTTCCTGAGGTCCCTCGGCTTCGTCCTCGTTGCTACGGGAAGTGGCATCGGCAGCGAGAGCACGAGGGCTGTCAGCACCGTTGTTGACATCCTCGCTGTGTCCATTGGTTTGGCTCTGACCGCGAGGCACGGCAGAGTAAGCGGAGGAGGCAACACCAGTAGCACGCTTCTTGTAAGAGGGGTTGGCACGAGCAACGTTGGTGTCCTCAACCTTGAGCTGCTCCTGATCCACCGTGAACTGGATGGGGGCCGAAGCCGCCATAGTCCGCAGGTAGTACATACCGGTCTTAAGACCCATCTTCCAGCCAGCGAAGTGCATGCTGGTGATCTTGCCCATGGTGGGCTCCTTCAAGTGGATGTTGAGGGATTGGGATTGGTCAATGAAGGCACCGCGGTCAGCAGCCATTTGCAGGATGTTGCGCTGCGAGATCTCCCAAACAGTCTTGTAGAGAGCCTTGATATCGGCAGGAATGTTGGGGATGTTCTGGACGGAGCCGCCGTCGGCGATGATGCGGTTCTTCATGTTGTCGGACCACAGACCGAGGTCAACCAGGTCCTTGAGCAACCAAGGGTTGACCACCTGGAACTCACCCGCCAGGACACGACGAGAGTAGATGTTCGAGGTGTAGGGCTCGAAGCACTCGTTGAAGCCCAGGATCTGACTGGTGCTAGCAGTAGGCATGGGGGCAACCAACAAACTGTTGCGGACACCGGTTTGCGCAATCTTGGCCTTGAGAGCGTCCCAGTCCCACAGATCGGTGGGAGTGCGGTCCCACATGTCGTACTGGAGGATACCCTGAGACACGGGAGAACCCTCGTAAGTCTCATAGGGACCGTGCAGCTTAGCCAACTCAGAGGAGGCAGTCAGAGCACCGTGGTAGATGGTCTCAAAGATCTGAATGTTGAGCTGTCTAGCCTCGGCCGAGTCAAAAGGCAGACGCAAGGCGAGGAAAGCATCAGCCAGACCGTTGACACCAAGAGCGATGGGACGGTGGCGGAAGTTGCTCTTCTTGGCCTCAGGGACAGGGTAGTAGTTGATGTCAATGATCTTGTTCAGGTTACGGACCAAGACCTGCACGACTTCATGAAGCTTGCCGAAGTCGTATTCGCCACGAGCGGCATCAACGAAAGTAGGGAGGGCAAGAGAAGCCAGGTTACAGACAGCAACCTCATCGGGAGCGCTGTATTCAATGATCTCAGTGCAAAGGTTGGAGCTGCGGATGGTTCCCAAGTTCTTCTGGTTGCTCTTCTTGTTGCAAGCATCCTTGTAAAGCATGAAGGGGTTGCCAGTCTCGGTCTGAGCTTCCAAGATAGCATACCAGAGCTTCTGCGCCTTGATGGTCTTGCGGCCGCGACCTTCCTTCTCGTACCTGTAATCTTGTTAGAACTGGCTAGCAAATAGGCTCAAAACAAAACTCACTTCTCATAAAGAGCATCGAACTCGTCGCCGTAGACATCGGCCAAACCAGGAGCCTCGTTAGGACAGAACAGAGTCCAGTCACCGTTGGACTCAACACGCTTCATGAACAGATCGGGGGTCCACAGGGCATAGAACAGGTCACGAGCTCTGACTTCCTCCTTACCATGATTCTTACGGAGGTCCAGGAACTCGAAGACATCCGAGTGCCAGGGCTCCAGGTAGATAGCAAAAGCACCAGGACGCTTGTTACCTCCTTGATCAACGTATCTGGCAGTGTTGTTGAAGACCCGCAGCATGGGAACCAGACCATTAGAGGTACCGTTGGTTCCACCAATATAGGAGCCTGTGGCACGAATGCGGTGGACGTTCAGACCGATACCACCAGCGGTCTTGGAGATCATGGCACAGGTCTTAAGTGTGTCATAGATACCATCAATGCTATCCTCCTTCATATCGACGAGGAAGCATGAGGCAAGCTGAGGCTGGGGAGTGCCAGCATTGAACAGAGTCGGAGAAGCGTGCGTGAAGAACTTCTGAGACATGAGATGGTAGGTCTCGATGGCCTTCTCGATGTCGTTGCCGTGAATACCGACGGACACACGCATCAACAGGTGCTGAGGGCGCTCTGCAACCTTTCCATTGATTCGCAGAAGGTATGACCGTTCAAGAGTTTTGAAGCCGAAGAAGTTGTAGTTGAAATCACGGTCATAAACGATAGCCGAGTTGAGCTCATCGGCGTGTTTCATGACTAATTCGTACGTCTCCGTGGAAATCATGGGTGCGGGATTGTTGTTCTTGGGGTTGACATAGTGGTAGAGGTCAGAGATGACCAGCGAGAATTGCTTCTTGGTTTGCTTGTGAAGGTTGGAAACTGCTATACGAGCAGCGAGGATAGCGTAATCGGGATGTGTGACGGTCATGTACGCGGCAGTCTCGGCGGCCTGCAAGCAAAGTCAGAACTCGATTGTCAAGCACTGAGTAATCTTCACATACCAGGTTATCGAGTTCGACGGTGGTGACACCCTGGTAGACACCAGAGATGACCTTCTGAGTGATAGCAGCAGCGTCGACATGCTCAGGATCGAGCCCATAACAGAGCCTCGACACACGAGCGGTGATCTTGTCGAACTGCACGCGTTCTTTGCGTCCGTCTGTGGTTCAACGTGACGTTAGCAAGATTTGCAACACGGGTGGCAACGAGCTCCAACAGGAACGTTTCGAAACGGATTTGAATGCAAAGCAGAGCTCTATGACGCTGTGGATTGACAGTGTAGGGCTTGATGCTCACCTCTCTTGTAGACAAACATTTTGAATGACAGGGAATGGCTGGGGAATGCGTAGAACCGAAGATTATGACAGGAAGGGTATAAGAAGGTAAGTGGAATTACAGAAAGAAAAGATCAGTGAATCGTATGTCAAGAGGCGTGAAGATGATAATTTTCGTAAAGCAAAAAGCGAAAAAGAAAAAAATGGTCCTGAAGACAGGAGCTTGTGGAGGATGAGAAGAAAGAGAAAGAGGGAGGGGCAGCGAGTGTGGTAGATATTTGACGTCGCCGGGGCAAACGCGTTGCTGGTGGAAATCAACGCGAATTTTCGTGTTTGAGCTAAATGGGCGGCCCTTGCATTGGCGCTAGCAAGCCTGGTACAGTAAAAGTTCTTTTTGCTCCGGCTGCCGGAGACGCGCGACGCCCTCAGGTCACGTGCTGTTGTTGAGTTTCTCACGCCACGTTGACCTGGAAGAGCCGACTGGGTCTTACAAATCAGCTTCGCGTTTCAATAGTTGACTCCGCTACTGTACCAAACGATCTAATCAATTTACATAGTACCCCACCAAAGCTAGACCGCCGCACTGCTTGGTAAGATTCTGGGAAGCTAGCTTAGAAGATTTCTCCGTCGGCATCCATCGGGTTCCTTGGAATTCCCATTCAGGACACCGAAGTTGGTTTGCACCATCGAGTAACAAATACAAATCAAATCAAAATCCGGGTACATCCCAAGTCTACGGTAAAGTATGGTACAAGGTCTTAGGCTCAACATATGATAACAAGGGTGAGACCTAGAAACAATAAATCTGGGGTTGGCAGCAGCAGCTGAGAAAGACTACAGTGCCGCCGCGACTCCAAAGAAAACAACAGCTGCGAATGCTGCAGCAGGAACATGACGATCTGACGAACCGGCTGAAATTATCCCGCTGGGGTGAGCACTTGGTGATGGGCTAGGACTGGAGCTGGGAGTTGGACTCGAACTGGGCTCTAATATAATGCTAGACGAGCCGGCTGGGGTCGCAATGCCAGAACTCGTTCTTGTGGGGTTGGCAACAGCCGTGGATGATGAGACACCAGAAATGGTAAATATGTCGTTCACTACTCTCAAGTTAGTGGATCCAGTATATGACTGCGCGACAACTGCTCAGCCAACATACCACCTTTGTATCCAGCTGAGGCACATATGTCCGAGAACTGCTGCATGGCCACCTTGGTATCGTCACCGCAGAGGTTTGAGATTTTATCCTTGATTTGCTTGCCATTGGTGACACATATGGTCTGGAGGTCGTCCGGAATGGACTGAGAGCTACATTCGAATTGTTAGCAGGTACTCCACGGTGATCTCCCAGCAACCTCAACAACTATCAGGGATACTACTCGTGCTGGGCACACTTACCCTACAGCAAACAGAAGACAATCACGGGTTGGAACAGCAGCGACAAGGCTACTGAAGGCCCAAACAAAGGCGCAAACAGCGCAAAAAGCGGGCTTCAAGAGCAACATCTCGAGCCTGTTTCGAGTAACACTATTCAGCAGTCGATCAATAGTTCAAGACGGAGGCCGGGTTTAGTAGGGGAGAAGACATGGATAGGAGGTGGTTTTCAGGGACAAAATTCAAAACAGAAAAAAAGAGGGTGTTAGGGTCTAAAGGAGCGACTGATAGTGATTCTGAGGTGTCTGGTGATGAGACCCGAAGACATCGAGAATGAGGAATTCAGAGGTCAAGAATTCCCCAGGTTCAACAGGGAATATTGACCCCCCATTCCTGGTTACAGAATTGACCCCGTCGATCGACCACAGGACCGGGGTCATACATTACTAGGATTGAAACGGTTAGCTGCCGCAAGGGCTTAGGCCAGTGGAACCACTAGGACAAGTAAGGCTAACCACCAGGAACCCCATTGCCGGCTCAGCTTCAATCAGGAATCATAATTGCCACTTAACCTACGGGGTACTGGCGAACGTTGCTCCGTTCCTGAACAACCGCAAAGGTGAATATATCCTTAAGCTGCGGATCGAGGGCTCGCAACAGTTGTGGTTACGTTGAACCACGGTATCCCTTCATTGCTCTAACTAGTATGGGCATCGTGTGTATAACGTTTAGTGTGACTAGCTAGGAACGAAGATAATTCTTAGAATCACATATGACTTCTGAGACAAGAATTCGTTCTCTTCATGTCAGACTTCTTCGGGCGCCAAGATCAACATTCTCTTTTCAATAAGCTGAAACCCGTGGGCGAACATCTGTGAAACCTCGGTATAGACATATCGAGCAATGCACTTTTTCTGGATGGAAGTCCCACTGAACTTGTCTAGCGCTGTGTAGCGACATCTGATCAGACTAGATTACATACATAGTTTTAGGCAGTTTAGGCACTCTGCTGTTTTAGTAATGGTAGCGCAAGCTTTCCTCGTCACTGGGTGCGGACAGGGTGAGTCGACTCAGAGCAAATAGCTACAGTCTATGGTATTGTCACGATGCTCAGTATATTGGTAATAGTACACGCTCCTTGTATTCTGAGCCTATTCCCACATCTGTCCCCTCTTTGTGCTGCCATTCCCCGGCCACTCTTGGGTTAGTCTGCTTTTTTGCGGAGCCTCTACTCAACAGATACTTGATAATGCTCAAGAGCCCAGCGTCGACAATGAAATGACGCAAAGTTGATTGTGGAAACGTCGAGTGGAAGTAACGTAGTCGCCACATAATTGACTCACAAACAACTCCAACTGCCTCCTGCTGAGTCATAATTAACATGTAGAAAACCCCTCCCCATGTGCCTACAGCAAGTCCCAGAGCAAAGGTGATTCTTTGTGTACTTGTTTTCGGGTTATATGGGCTAATAGAACTATAGCTTGTCTTATACCCGCGATTTGATCTAGTCTGAGCTATGAAGTTATCCTGTAGATGAGCCAAATACAGTGACGTTGCGGTCTTGTCGGTTAGAATCAAGCACAGCCCTTGGACAAACTTCTTCTGGTGGGCACGGTATACTTTCCTACCTCGTAAGTGCTGTCGCTAAAGATCTTAAACTCTGTTAGAGATAGAAATAAGCACGGAGCAAGTTCTGGATTACATTCTAATCTTTTATGCGTCCCAGGAGCACTCGAAAATAAAACAATCCGTGGATGCATCCGTAGCTAGTCTATCGGAAAAGACAGCGGGAGATCAACACCCCGCGATTGCGCAAACATCTGAAAAAAAGCGCAGTATGTATATGAAGCTTTCATCTCGTGATGCGAATCACCATATGAGATTAGGACAGTCCATAAGTCTCTAATCAGTCTGGTGATCATGGTTCTATGCCCCTCAAAACCCCTTGCGCTACCTCTCCCACGCAGGGTCAAATTCACTATTAATGATTTCCTGCAGCTCCATCCTGCAATCCATGATCTCTTTCCCATTAACCAAGTCGTTCTCCGTTACTCGTTTATCTGCATCGGCTTCGTCGTTCGCGATGCCCGCCTTGACGTGCCTCCGAATTAACCTTCTCCGAGCGACCTCGAAGTCGACCTCAACAAACCAAAGCTCATCCATCAGTTCCGCCGCCGTGCTCCACGGCTCCTTATTGAGACTGAGGTAGTTGCCCTCGAAGAAGATCACCCGGCAGGTGGCCGGGATGGTGATGTCGTCATCCACGGGATCCTTGACCGCGTGGTCAAAACTCGGAGCGTACAGACTTCGTGTCCGCGGTGTTACCTCTTCCCGCAGCGCCCGCACGAGCTTGAGGAACTTTTCCCCGTCGAAGGTGAACGCGGCGCCGCGGCGGGCAGCCGCGTACGCGGGATCAGGCATTGCGGCGAGCTGCGCGCGTGTGAGGTGGTAGCCGTCCATCGGGACGGTGGTTGCGATAAGCGGTGAGTCTGGATGTTGCGCGGAGTATCGTTGGTTGATGCGGTTGGCCATCATCGTCGCCAGCTCTGTCTTTCCGGACCCAGGGATCCCACTGACGGCAATCAGTAGGCGGGCATCGTCCGGTGTGGACTGGAATTTGTCTGTGGCTCGAGGCATTAGCTACCGAGGAGGACTTTTGGGGCCCGTCGGACACAAAAGACACCGCTTGTTTGTCCGACTCGCGGGGTTAACACTCACTCCAGATCTTGTCGACTAATCGATCGACTTGTTGTTCCATGATGGAATAGAAACTGTGGACACTAACACAAACACGCGAGAATCTGACCAGATGGGATTATTGGGACAATGCACCGATAACCGTGGTCCCGTCCATGCAAAGGTTGGAACTGTGTGTTTGCGCCGAGAATTGTGTGGTCGCAGATTGAGATTGTCTCAAGTTGTGTACTGTAGAGTCCCAAGTGCGATCTAAGGGACTTGGAATGACTATATTGGGATCTTGGTAGCTGTACAATATAATGCGCGAGCGAGCTGGACGATGAAGGTCTGCATGGGCAGTGGAAGCTCGGCGATTCATTGAGATAAATAAGTCTGCGGGGCTTGTCGTCAGAGTGGGGGCTCGCTATCGCTTTTACTCCGGAGTAATGATACGTCACGTCACAGGGGAACAGCAACCGCATCTCTGTACCGTAAAGGAAACTAGCTATCATACTGTACCTGAGAATAGGTTCTGTCGCAGGTTCATTTCATTCATCACAAGCTTCTCAAAGAGAGGGGAGAATTGATCTCTAGGATTCTTGCCTGAAACTTCAGGCCGGCGTACTGATTCTATAAACAGGCGAATTGTTGATGATTATGGCTCTGAAATTCTTTTTGGGACATACATCGACTTTTAGCGAGTGGGGGTACATCAATAGAAGGTATCTGAGTTATTAGTACAGAGAAAACAAAACAAGTATGTATGGAGAAGATTATTTCCGTATCAGGTGGTGCCCGCCGCCCTTGATGGAAAAAAATATCAGAACACACCGCTAACGCCCAGCAATACATCATCCCCGCTAAAGAGAAACCCAACCATAGAAGTCTGCGCGTTGCCCGGTATCTTGAGTGAAGCATAAGGAGTATTGTCTATCACAATTCCACAACCAAAATTATAACAGAAGGGGAAAAATACGAATGAAGGGGGCTGCTGTTTAGCTACGACGAAGCGGTCCGTCGATTGTGTTGACGTCGTTTGGCTCGTCATTTGGCTCGTCGTTCTCACGCTGACCGAGAGCGCGAGACAATCCAACGGACGCCCAAAAGTCGTCAGGAAGGTCCTGCCGGTTTGTGAGACGGTCCAGCACGGCCCGAACCTGATGCAAGTCTTGGTCGGTAGAAGAATCGGAAAAGGCAAATGACACAGTGGGTATCGGAGGTTGGCTACTCATAGTTGACTGAACTTCGGGTGCCCGTCTTGCAGTTCCCTGGGAGCGTATCATGGCCCCTTGAAAGTCCACAGCTCGCCTCAAAGACTCCAGTTGACGAACAGCACGGTAACGCCGAAACAGGGAATTCGAGGTCTCAGATTCTGAGTCGCTTTCGGAATCGGTAGCACTCGGTGGGAAGTCACATGGATGCAAGTATTCGGGATATGGATCAAGGACTATCTCCATTGTTCCAGGTCCCGAGTACGTTGAGCTTGGAGTGGGCCGCATTCCGGCGGCGGCGCTTCTCATTGCCCCGTTCACAGGAACGTTCGTTCCGGGCGCGGACGCTGAATTAAATGATGAATCAGCACTGGGGAGATTTGTGTCAGGCGTGATCGTTGTCAAAAGTGTTTCCCATGCATCATTGGCGTGGTCATCATCAGGGCTGAGGCTCCTTTGGCGATCGCCCAGACCATCTATAAGTAATTCCTGATTTGAACGACTCGTATCATTGATGGACCGCTGGCCAACACGCCGTAAGGACGGGAAAGCAAGTGTCGCAGACAGATCTGGGCCCAAACCATCAGGCAGGGGGAAGGGTGACAGGTGGAGAGCATCTCGTCGCGCATGTGGGGAAGCGCTCCCGTGATATGCGACTGCAGGGGCAAAGCGAGGCGTAAAATGAGGGTGATCTTGATCCTGCCTATTGTTTGCATCTAGACCGGGAGAAGCGGGGCGCTGAAAGTCGGACATGATCGGATTGCGCGGTATCCTCAGGCGTTGTTGTTGGCCTGGGCGACCTTGCTGAAGGGCATTATCGAGTCGCCGTTGTTCGTTGCGACGTGCGTTCCGAGCTCGTAGAGGGTCCAGAAATCCATTGGTGAGATTGAACGGATCTTCGGCGGCAGCAGCATTCGAAAGAGGCGAGCGAACATGACGCTGTATGCCGTTCGCCTCGCGCTCGCGCGCGCGTTCGACCTCATCTGCCAACGCCAGCGCCCGAGGGATGATAGGCGAGCGACCATGGCGCTGTAGGCTATTCGAGTCGCGCTCGCGTTCCCGCTCGCGCTCAATCTCCTCTGTCAGGGTTCGTGGGGAAATCGTTCGTAAAGTTGCATTGCGCAGGACAGAGCCATAGCGCGATGGGCGGCGAACGCTGGCCTGACGACGAATCGCAGAGCGTGCGGCAGCGCAGCTATCTTTGGCAGCGTGGTTCCTCGTGTCTTCTGTCGGGGACGGCTCCCGGAACATCCTATATCATTACCAGTCAGTCACGACAATTGTCCCGGGTGCTTTAGCCTAATGGAGCAGGGCGCGTAAAGTCTTGACGGCCAACTGGGGAGATGGATACTCACGGAATACCCATGTTTACAGTAAATGTGAAGAAGGATAGGAGAGGAAATCACGTTTGGAACGATTGAGGATTGAAGAAAAGCTATCACATTCAGAAGCAAAGGAGATTGACACAGAAGGCTAATAAGCACAGTAGCACGGAGATTGCGGGGAGCAACGACCAAGACGAATGTCGATGGAGAAACGGCGAGATTTGGTTTTCCTCGTAAAGGAAAAAAGCGGAGGCAACGATATTGGCGCCTGAGGCCCGCCGTAGCGCCTCGGGTTGTTCAACTGCTTTTTTTTTTTTGGATGGTTTGTTGTTGGAAGGGCGGCTGGACAAGTGTGTGGCGCCATCGCCACACGCGTATATTCCAGTACAGCGGCTATTGTGCTACTATGGATGGAGGGAGACCTGAGGTTTACCGCGGCCTAGAGATGTTGGATACGACAAGAAACACTAGACTGCAAACTCAAATCCTGCACTATGAGTATGTGTCTGACTATTAATGACTACTTCACTGAAGTAAGGATCAAAGTGATACTGCGCTGCTACTGCAACATATCGTACCAATTTTGCAGGTTGTTGTGGTGGGGCTGCATAGTGGTAGCCTAAGGCAATTAATTCTTATCGGGCACTTTCCCGGTTTCCGATTATCTTGCCGACAGCTGCTGACTTTCCCGTTGAGAGCACCGGACGGGTTCAATTGATAACTACTCCGTACACCTCCCCCATGTCAACCTTCTTTGTCCTTGCTTGCTGGCCATGAGCCTTGAAACCTCCCAGCTACCTATCAGTGTGTATATTGAGGGATGATAGAGCTCGGCTTGAGTCGGATATCCCGCCTCCTCCAGCAGACTCCGCTGTCATGGAAGGCCATTCACATTGCTGGAACTAACGGCAAAGGTTCCATCAGTGCCTACCTATCTCACTTGTTGTCTGCCGGCGGAGTGCGCTGTGGTCGCTTTACCTCCCCCCATCTAATCGACCGCTGGGATTGCATCACAATCGGCGAAGATGTTGTCCAGGAATCACTTTTTCGACAAATCGAAGCTAGAGTCAAACTTCGAGACCAAACCCTCGGCATCGGTGCTAGCGAATTTGAGCTCTTGACTGCAACGGCCTTCGAGATCTTCAACCATGAACAAGTCGATATCGGCGTAGTTGAAGTTGGTATGGGCGGCCGGTTAGATGCAACGAACATCTTGAGTGATGTCTTAGTGTCTGTTATTGCGAAGATCGGACTTGACCACCAGTCCCTACTCGGAGATACCATCGAGCAGATTACACGCGAGAAAGCGGGCATATTGAAGGTTGGAGTTCCATGTGTGGTGGACGGCACCAACTCGATCGAAGTAATTGGAACACTGGAAAAACGTATCGGGGAGCTGGGGATTGAGTCGAACTTTGTCCGCCCAGAAACCCAGTCACCATTACTTGGCCGCCTTTTCGCGACGCTTGACTTGCAGCCTCATCAACAAGCCAATATGTCCTGCGCAGTGTCTGCACTCAAGCTGGCACTGGATCGATTCCGTCCGGAAATCAATGTCGATATGCTTCTTCCACAATTGTCGAGCGTGGTGTGGCCAGGACGCTTACAGAAGATCACCCTGGGCCCTTTGGTGGGCCGGGAAGAGCCCGTCTTACTTGACGGCGCGCACAATGCTCAATCGGCGGAAGTGCTTGGGCAATATGTGGATCGCAAGCTACGTACAGAGCATGACAATGTTACGTGGGTAATCGCAGCTTCAAAGGGAAAAGATCTATCCTCTCTATTCCAAAACATCATTCGGACTGGTGACAAAGTCGCAGTGACCGCATTCGGTCCTGTTGACGGGATGCCCTGGGTGAAACCGGCTGATACTGAGGAAGTGGCTTCATGTGCGCAGTCTATCTCAGAGACCGGTCTAGTGCAGACTTTTGGCTGCGATGTCTCTGCTGCAATCGAGTGGGCCTGTCACGAAGCTAACGGCGGCCCATTGGTCATTGCTGGCAGTCTCTACCTTGCGTCTGATGTTTTGCGTCTTCTTCGAGAGGCACAAAAATAGTCGTGACACATCACGAGTCATGGCAGATTTGTGTTTACACGATACCCACTCTAGCATCTTACTAGCTTATCTCGACCCTTTTGAGCAAATCCTCTTGAGCATACTTAATTAGTAATCGAAGCACGTGTGTAGTTAACCACTGAAACTATGGTCTGGAATGACAAAGAATGCAGTGCAAAAATTGTGTATTATTGTCTAGCTGTTTGATCGATTAAACTAGAGGCAGTCGTCTCCAGACTCCGCTTTGGTTCTGATAAGGTCGATCGGAGATTACAGCAGCGGCCGGGCGCTGCGTCATGGCCCAAGCCAAGTGGTGCTGTGGAGAAAGGGAAAGTTCAAAACACCCGCTGAGAGTCCCTGCGTTTGCCCCGTCAAGCACAACAGGAAGTGCTCGTTTTTTCCCGTCTTTTTGCTTGGTTAGCGTGCTCGATTATCTTGCAGCAGAGCTGGTATTTTGAGTCTTACCTTTGATTCAGGAGCCTAGGCTCTAATGTTCAGCGGCGCGCTTGACAGACGCGGCTCTTGCGAGGACGATAACAGGTACCCTTCCAGTATGTTGATTTTTTCTCATTAACGACAATCATGCCATATAGTCTCGATACTAGTGCTTGTTCTTGTCTGAAACAGTCTTCTGCAGCTTTCTGTGATCTTTACTGACAGTTACAATGCGCCTAGACCTCAGATTGTGCTGACATGAATAATCCGATCGATTTTCTGGCATCGGCCTTCTTCGAATCATTTATTGTTTAAGCGATCGCTTTTGTTTGAGACATCTGGTT